CAAAGTGTCACTGAGGGATCGAGACGTTCCACCGGGAGCCTCACACAGTCGAAGCTGTTCTTCGTAGTACTTCAGACTGCTGCACAATGAGTTCCAGTCGTTGCTCTTCCCATGCAAGACAACGTATTGACGAAGCTCGGTATTCAGCGCTTGCAAAAGGATACTGCACCGATCAGCCTCTGACAGAAGAAGTTCAGGGAAATTCGACAGCTTTGCCTCAGACCGAGAAAACTCATCTTCAAGGTGCCTAATGAGGTCAGTAGGCCGCCGAATATGTTGGCACGTGTGCTGCAACTTCAAACACTGGTCACGCACGAAGACGGCTTCCATGCGGGACACTATGCTGTACTGCTGTGTGATGGTGCGCATGGCCTCGTACCCACAGGCACTCAAAGCCTGTCGCTTCGAGCACGAGCGTAGCAACTCCAGACCCCTTTCCCACTTTGCCAGGGCTTGGGTCAGGTAGTAAAACAGCTTAGCGCTCCTCGCTGCAACTTCCACACTGAGATCCTTCTGGAGTATCTCGTGTTTCACCTTCACACACAGCTGAAGCTCCCGAACGAAAGACTCGTCCTGCAAAGCCAACCACGAGCTCAAAGTCTCTACATAGCCATGCCATGTTTCCACTTCTCGCATGCGTCCTTTGCTCATGCCTTGATGCTCCAGCAATGGCAAAGGCGGAAGGAACTTCTCCGCTCGGTTCTGAAGAGTGGACCCACCACTGAAAGAAGTAGACGAAGACGACTCCGTCGCTGCTGTGGCACCAGGTCCCGAAAACGGGTCGGCAGTCTTGGCTTTGGCTGCAGCTTCAGCGGCCTCGTTTCAGCGTTTCTCCTCTAAGTCCATGCGTCTCATGAGAGTAGCTATCAACTGCTGGTTCTGTTGAGTAGCCTTGCTGACGCAAGAGCTCAAGTGTAGACTGGTTCTGCTGACGTAGCATTTCCAACACGATGGCTTGAAACCCAGTCTCGGTTCCTCCACTGCTGGCTGTGGGCAAGGTTCCCACTGCCTGACTGCCTGGTGAAGCCTGCGCTTGAGCAGGAGTTGCCGGAGGGGACTCAAAGGGGTTCGGTGCTTCCTGAGGTCGCGTCGTTGTCCTTGACCAAACAGCAAAGCCTCTTCTTCAGGACTCACGTCCGGCACCGGCACCTGAGAAGGCCCGGAGCTTGGACGGCCATGGTCTCTACTGGAACGTTCTCAGACGCTCCGCTACCATGTGAAAAACGCAGAGCACTTTTTCACTCCACGCTTGAGCCAAAACACCAGAGGTGTTCGGCAAGTCTCTCGCAGAGTCAGCGCAGCTTTGCTTTCGTGAATTCCATCTCAACTTTGTTAAACAAAGGAGGAACACATGCAAACGTCCTAATGCTTCTCAGAACTTCAGTGCTTCCAGCAAAACAAGCATACGTGCACAGCCACTCTGCTCGAACCTCAGTACGACGACACGAGCGAAGCGAGGGTCGGCGGCCAAGGTTTAAAGAGCAAACTCAGAGCAACACGCACTTCTTCAAGGATTCTCCTAAAGCATCTCGAGTGCTTCTCTGCTATCATGCACAACTCCAAGCATCTCCCGTCAAGCTCAAAGCAAGAAACACTTTCAAAGCCAAGCTCCAAAATGCTGTCCATGCCTGTTTCTGCTGACACCAAACAAACGGTTCAAGCACAGTTGCAACTCGTGGTTCATGTCACATGTGCAAGATATCCTGTCAACTGTAAAGGCACTCACAAGGAAGTCAAACACTTTCACAGCAACGGAGTGGTTGTCTTGAAAGTCGGGCTTTCGTACTTTTCGATGAACAGGGCTTTGTTGCGGACACGTGCACCAAAATCCAAACAGCGTTCCATGAGGATGCGAGGGTGCTTCTTGAGTACAAGTGCCTCACCTTCGAAGGTCACCTGTTTAGATTGGTCTCCGCGGCTCCCACAGCCTACTTTGATGCTAGGACGGCTGGCTTTGCTGCATTGGCAACGCCTTCTTGCCGTCTTTTGGCTCACACTAGCGTAGTAGTGCTTTGGCTCATGGGAGTCTGAGGCTGCCCCGCGACGTCACTTTCCTGCCGCCACACTATACGACTCGTTGCCTTGCGGCCCAACTTGAGCATGTCAACAGAGGAAGATTGCCTTGATAGCGACCCAAGGCAGCTTGAGTACGCCCGTACTCTTGCTCTGCCGCAAGCTCTGTCCTTGGATTTGTCCCCGGTGGCCTTGCTGGTCCTAGGCGGATCTCTGCAACATCAAGGTTGTTCTTGCCCTGCCATTGCAGAGTGTTCATGGCACTGAAAATGCCGCTGATGCCTTCCAGGCTTGGCTTAGTTGGAGCATAAGAAGAAATAAAGATCGGCTAGGTCTCGGGCGGCTAAGACTTTCATTGGCACATGCTTCATTGGTGCCAATTGGCTATGCAGTCTGTGGCCTGTCTTGCATCAGTTAATTCGCACTGGTTCCGACTTCTCTTGGAAGGTCTGAGGGGAATGCTCTTCTTTGCGATTCCCACGGGGGAACACGCCGGAGTTCTTTGGAGTCTCTTTGACGAATGCACTTACGACGTCCATGCAGTTGGGGACTTGCCACTCGCGAGCTGTGGAAGATTGTAGCTGATCAGTGATGGTTTTGTCATGTTTTGGATCAGCTTGTATAGGTTTGTTTTGCTTCGGAGTGATTGGGAATCCGTGTGATCCCATCCTCAATGGTTTATGCCTCGTTGATTTCCAAGGAAATCATACGAGTGTGTTTTTGCCCAATACGCTATTTAAAGTGAGTGTGCAATGTGTAGGAACTTCGTTCTGAAGCTGAGTTTAAGCTCACAAGAGAGAATTCGTTTAGTTTGTGCACTTCGTGACTTTTGGCTCAAGGCTCATGGCTCAAGGCTCAAGTGGCTCTGACTGTGAAAAAGAGAGAGCTGTCCGCACTTGTGTGAGAGGTCAGGGTTCGTGCTTTCAAGGGAAAAGGTACCAGAGGGACCTTCGGTTTTTCACGTGGTAGCGCTATTGATAAGAAGGTCAGAACCCCAATTCCTCAGCCTTGATCGTCAGGGTCGCCGCCTACGCGCTGGACATGAACAGGGTCCTGCGGACCGAGACGCACAAGCTAGGGGTCTATCTACGTGCTTCCTCGAGTAGTAGGCTGCTTGGCAAGACTTTAGGTCTTGCGGTTTAAGGTAATTACGGGGTTGTGCGAGCCCTTTCTCCCAGGCTGTGGCAGCTGCAGCTATCAGAATTGGGCGTCTCTGGCCTGCAGGACGCCCCGTGTAGCAGCCATTGGGCATTTGAGCATTTTTGAGGCTGCGAAGAAACGTGAAGCTTCTATATCACAGGAGCCAGGGGATTGGGTGACATCTTGCAAGAAGATGAGGCTTGTCGGGTCTGTGGTGTTGCTGTATGGTGGCGTGTCTGTGGCTTCTGATGGCGTGTGGAGACCTGCGGGGGGAGGTGGGGCCCTGGGAAGGAGGTGGTGGAAAAGGAGATAGGGGGGAGAGGTATTATGCAAAATGTATGCCATATGTGCATATTACCATTTCAGTACTTACACATTTGTGGATTTTGTGTACTTTTTATGAGTTTTTGTATACACATATATAGATTTGAACCACCTTCATGCCCCACACCCTAGGACGAACCAGTAAGAGCTTAGCTTTCGGCAAGGACAAGGTACGGAGAGCGCAGTCTTTGCTAACGCCCGAGCCCCTGACCCCTAAACCCTAAACCTGATCCTCGTCGTGTGCGAGTACAAGAGTTTCTGGCTCCGAGATGAGGGTTTAAGGTTCGGAGAGAAGGACGACCCCACCGTCAGCCCCTCACCTGAAAAAAGGGAATCCTTTGTTCTAGCCCTAATGCTCACGTGCGCACCCCGATTGAGTGAGTTGTTCTGATTTTCTCCTCGTCGTGGCTGGTAGTATCATCAGTCGGACAGTGGCCCAGCCCCTTCCGACGCGCTAGGAAGACGTGCGCCGCCTCTCCGTGACTTCGGCCCTGCGTGCGCTCGACACGCTGTGGTGGACACTGCGAAGCAGCATAGACCGGCACCTTGACGCTAAGGGGAGCCGACAAGATGAACCTGTGATCCATCTCGAATCCATCTTCTTGTGGAAGTGGAGAAATAGACATGGGGCCATTTTTGCCACCCATTTTGTCCAAGCTTATCCAAGATGGCTTTTCTCTACCCTCAACCCTAAACCCTAAACCCTAAACCCTCAGCCCTTAAACCCTAAACCCTAAACCCTAAACCCTAAACCCTCAACCCTAGACCCTAGACCCTAAACCCTAAACCCTCAACCCTAGACCCTAGACCCTAAACCCTAAACCCTAAACCCTAAACCCTATCCCAACCAGCTCTTGAGCTTGTCTGCTTCTGTTGGCTTATTGCGGGGTCCCCCGAGTTTCGAGGTACTTGGACGCGTACGAGAAGTACCTGAGGCCTTCGGGCCTCAGGAGAGGAGAGGGCTGTGAGCTTCGAGCCAAAGTCCGAAGAATCGAAATCACATAGATAGATATATATATATATGCTTGCTAAATAAAAAAAAATATATATATATAGATATATATATATATTTATGTATATATATATGTACAGTTTTAGACAAGTGTGGTTGAAGAATCACACTCCTCGTAAAGTCAGCATCGTTTTTCCATAGCCGCACGGATCACAATCCAAAAGTTCCCCCCCCCCCCCGCCCGCCCCCAAGAAATGAGGTCCTTCCAGGGCGCCGTGCGCCTGCTGGAGAGCTACACGCAGTGCAAGGCCAGCTTCCAGGACCTGCGCTGGGCCTACACCGCCGTCCGGCGCAGCCGCGCAGCAGAGCAGCAGGTCTTGCAGGACTCCCGATTGCTCAAGAATCCCCCACCCAAAACATGAAAGCATATTCTTCCTTAGAAGGGTCATATAGGGACTGTTTTTTTTGTTAAAGTCTTGTTTTGGGGGCTCTTAAGCACATGCCAGAGGAGGCCTGGGCCACGGCAGAGCCCACTTTGGGGCTCATTGCCGCCCAGATCTCCGACACCCAGATGCTGGAGGAGCTGGCGGCCAATGACGCGCGTGAGCTCCTGGACTCGCTGCTGGGGGCTACCAGTGGTACCCCCTGTTCCCTTCTTTTGTCGGTTCAACGGGCGTCCCTTTATAAAGCAGCCAACCCAAAAAAGGGTACCCCTATCATTAGTTCAAGGTTCTCTTATGAAGTAGCCAACCCAAAAAGGGTACCCTAATTATAATAAGGGTTTGCTAGGCGACCAAGGATGGCACAAGGCCCCCACGACTCGCAGGCGCTGTGCCGAGGGAGCGAGGCCTTGCTGGATGCAGCCCAGGAATGGCTTGCGAAGGGCTTCTTCGGGCAAACAGTGAAGCAGCTGGGAACGGCCTTTGTGGAGATGGCACACCTGCACCAAAGGCTGGGTAGAGCTGGGGCCGGGACAGCAGGGGGAAGGACAAAAACAGGGGGTGCGAGGCGCGTTGCGCGTTTGGCTGTTGGTCCGTGCATGTCACTGTCCTAGTCGCAACACCAGGTCCTCCATGGATGTGGTGTTTTGGGTTATTCTTTGGTTTCTAAGCCACCTCAGGCAAAAAGAGACGATGTCGAGAATTGTTATGATGCCGTCCAGTACCCTGCCCCAGCACAACAACCCAACACCCAAAACCCACATTGTTGGTTGTGGAGATGAGGCGTTGTTCCTTCTCTTTGGATAATCACCTTCATGCCCTCCGGTTTCGGAGACTCCCCACCCCCCCCCCCCATCCGAACATGCATTCCAGAGCGTGCAAAGATAACTTTTCCAGACTCTGCTTGAAGGGTGCTTATGTCCGATGTGCGGCTGTAGCTATCATTCACATGGTTTTTTTATGACCATCTATCATGGTATGCACAAGCACCAGAAAGGGAGCCTTCCCCTCACGCCCACGTGTCATGTCTCTTCTGCAGCTAAATGCCCTCCCGCCCCCCCCCCCCCCCCCAAAAAAAAAAAAAAAAAGTGGAAAAACCGACAAAAAAAAACATATTATAATAAACCCCAAAACCCTTCTCTAAATGGCCGGCAGGTTTGCCGCTCCGCAGTCGGAGGGGTTTGGGGCCGTGCTGCTCGAGGCTCAGCAGCGGACCTCCGGGGCGGTGGCGGCCTTGTCCGTGAACGACACGGTGCGACAGCCCCTTGGATCCCTTGAGTCGGGGGGGGGGGGGTTTAGGGTTTAGGGTTTAGGGTTTAGGGTTTAGGGTTTAGGGTTTAGGGTTTAGGGTTTAGGGTTTAGGGTTTAGGGTTTAGGGTTTAGGGTCTAAAGGGTGGCTCATATGATCGGAACCAGTTTAGGGGGCCTGTAAGAGTGGCCATACAGTGATCGTCTCATGATGCGAACCTGGTGGCCGCCATGATCTTCGATCAGCTCGAGGGAGGCCTCAGATATCCCGCCGGGAACCCTCGTAGCTCCCGGTTATGGCCTCCCGGTTCGGCCGGAATTCTCTGGGACATGTGGGGGTCCCGATGCTCGGAAACGCAGTCGTGCGTGTGGCAGCGCCGTGACTCTTGTCTTCGCACCTGCAAAAAAAGGGGGGTCGACGCAGGGATCCGACGTATGTTGCTAGTCTTCGCAGCTACTTGTTTTTTGTGGACGGCAAGGACCCTGCTACCTTGTGCAATGCTTGTCGATGTTCTTCAACATGACAGAAAGGGCAAAAAGTGACCCTGCTACGTTGCACTCGTTGGTCGTTGATATGAAGGTAGACAAGTCACAGTCCTGTCCCACCTTTCTCGCAATTTTTGTAGATAAATTAGCACGTTGCGACCAACCCCAGGAAAACCAAATCACAGGAGGGTGGCAGCCACGGATCATGTATCTCAGCCCTGCAACATATTTGCATTTGGCTAATCTGATCGCAGTGATATGTGGCTGTAGGAGCTAGGAGCTTTGCGCTCAACTACCACTCTTAGCACGAATCAGCTGGAAGGTGCAGGGTAGGATGCTAAGCAACACGCGTGTCAAGGCTAAAGGCAACACCAATGTGTTTGGCTGTGTAGGTGTTTCGCTTGTGGTCGTCCACGCTTGATGTCTGCAGGTGTGGCTTTGGGAAAATTTCAAGGCAATCGCCCACCCAACGCCTGACTAATTTAGGGTTGTCGCTGTTCAGGTGTTCCCATCGCTGCACATGGTTTGGGGCATTCGTGTCTACCCTTGCTTACTTGAATGGCTGGGGGCTTTCGCGCCTAAATTCCTCAACCCCAAGCCCTAAACCCAAACTTTGACCCCTAAAGCCCTGAGTTTCGAGGCTTTGGTCCAAGTGGAAGAGCTCCAACTGTGCGTCTCAGACCGGAGCCGAGAGTCTGCTTCAGACCGGGGCCGGGGCCGCTTCTCACCGGCCCCGGCACCGGAGACACCGGCCCCCACCGCCCTACTACGGCCCCCCATGGACCACCACCACCCCATCCTGGTGGACCACGGCCCCACCACCCCCTACCACTACGCCTTGCAACCAGAGCGAGCCCGAGTGGGCGAAGAGGCTCGAGGCGCAGCACGAGCAGCTCATGGACAACCAGTTCACGCTCCACAATGAGTCCATGGATCTTGATGCTCGGTATGCCCTTGGGACATCTTGCATCTTCCCTCATCTACTGGCTTTAGAGGATCATCTTCGGGAATGTTTTTTGTATCTTCCCTCATATACTGGGTTTTTCGAGGATCATCTTCAGGAGTTATGTTTTCAGAGGGTCTTATACGGACCAGCCGAGGATGGCAACATCAACCAGACCGTGGATAACCTGCAGGAAGGGCTGCTGCAGCAGCCAGAGCCCCCAGCGCCCACGCCTCCTCCAGGGGCCTGTGATCCGGGCGTCAACTTGACCGGACCGGAGCCTTGGCAAGCACAAAGCAGGGTTTTAGGGTTTTAGGGTTATTTTTAGGGTTTAGGGTTTTAGGGTTTTAGGGTTTTAGGGTTTTAGGGTTTTAGGGGTTTAGGGTTTTAGGGTTATTAGGGGTGTTTGTTGCAGGGGGATGGGACAGGGGGGGGGGGGGGGGAGGCCCGTGTGAAGAAACAGGTGTGCTACGAATCGCAGATGCCCTGCCAGCTGACCATCAGCAACGACCCCGTCCCTGGGGGTCGTTGAGCGCTGTTTTCTAAGCTGCTTTCTTTTCAACCCTAAACCCCGAAACCCTACCTAAACCCTCAACCCTAAACCCCTAAACCCTAAACCCCCTAAACCCTAACCCTAAACCCTAAACCCTAGCCCTAAACCCTAAACCCTAAACCCTCAAAAGTCACTCTGCGTATAAGGGGCAACATCCCACAGGGAACCACCCCAAAAGCTCAGGCCCGCGCCGCAGCGCAAGGCGAGATCATCCCTGGCTGTCTGCTCTTGAAGAACCGGAGCCAGGTGCCTTTTGTTGTGGGTTTGGGGTTTCGGGTTTCGGGTTCAGGGTTTGGGGTTTCGGGTTTGGGGTTTCGGGTTTCGGGTTCAGGGTTTGGGCTTTAGGGTTTAGGGTTTGGGGTTTGGGGTTTGGGGTTTAAAGGGTTGCGCCCCCAGCTTTGGACGAGCAATCTTTCTGCGGAGGACGTCCCTTGTATGCACTCCTCCAATGAAAGTCCAAAGTTTTCAAGATCCCAGTGGTGGTTTCCGAAAATAGGGGTATCCTTTTTGGCGGTCCCTTTCAAAGGGATTCTATTTTATTTTGGGGTATAAAATGGGGTACCCCGACTGTGGGAAATACCCATATTCTCTCAAGTTCCAGATGCTCTGTGAGTTCGTGAGTGAAGCATCCGTGAACCTTGCTGAAGCTGGCTTGTTTGGCTTGTGCTCAGGAAGTCAACTGCTCGAGTGACAACTTTTCTCGCGACCCACCGCTCCCACCCGGGATTTTTCATGAAAACCCCCAAATAGAATCCCCTTAAAGGGACCCCCAAAATGGGTACCCCTATTCTCGAAAACCCCCATATATAGATGGTGTGGTGCTCTTGCGTCTCTCCCTTCCCGCACATCACAGGCCATCCCAACCCAAAGGATTCCAAAACGCAGATCCCCTTAAGGGGTTCCTAGAAATGACCCAATAGTAGTACCCTATACCCTAAACCCTAAACCCTAAACCCTAAACCCTAAACCCTAAACCCTAAACCCTAAACCCTAAAACCCTAAACCCTAAACCCCTCAACCCTAAACCCTAAACCCTGAACCCTAAACCCTAAAGGGTACCATTTGGGAGTTCGGGCGCGAGCTGGAAGTTGCCACTGCTTGGCTAGTGGAGGGCCACAACTCGGGTTTGGGGTTTAGGGTTTGGGGCGTAGGGTTTAAGGTCTGGGTTTTAGGGTTTGGGGTTGAGGGTTTGGGGGTTAGGGTTTGGGGTTTAGGGTATCCAAGTCCCTTTTGCCTCGTTTTGGGTTCCTAACCTCAAGGGGTACAGGGCAAGGTGCCAGAGCTGAGTTTGCCCATCGCAGATTTTTTTCACAAGACGGTGCCTTTGAGGGATCCCAAAACCCTACACTATACCCTGAACCTTAGACCCTAAACCCTAAACCCTAAATCCTAAACCCTAAACCCTACACCCTAAACCCCAAAAACCGTAAACCCTGAAGCTTTCTCGAAGCACCAGGAGCTCTTCCAGTATTGCAACGATGCAAGCGAGGACCGGGAGCTTATGGTGGGGGCCTGCAGTGCGAACCTGAGCTTCCAGGCGAATCAGGGTGTAGCCCTCGGGTTTAGGGTTTAGGGTTTAGGGTTTAGGGTTTAGGGTTTAGGGTTTAGGGCTTGAGGGCTTAGTCCCTTATCCCAAAACACAAGGCCCTGAGCCCGCTTTGGTGGTATTATGGGGCTCGAGCCTTTTCGGGGGCAGGGCTCCGTAGCAGGCCTTGTGCTCCCTTCACTTGCCGTTTCTAATCCTTTCTTCTTCGTCGTTTCGCTTTCTTCCCATTGCCTCACCAGCAATACAGGAATGAAGAGAGAGGCAGAGGAAGACAGGACGGGTTCGACTCAGTTCCGGGTCTGAAATATGGCACGGCTTCGGTATTAGACCTCCAGAATTTTTTGACGCGACTGATGGAAGCCTTCAAGACGGAGCAAGAAGAATAGTAAGAACATAGAGAGAGGGAACAGCTCCTCTTTCTTGTTGTTCCTTCTTCTTGTTCTTCTCTACTCCCTGCAGCGCCTCAGGAAACAAGGTCAATGAAGCGATAAGAAGCGTGAAGAGGGAGAGCGTGACTAAGCACAAGGATCTATGCACTTCTTAGATGCAATGTATGAAGAAATAAACATTCTTGGGCCATTCTTGGGTCCATATTATAGCTGCCGTACTATATGTGGGACCTGAAAACAGGACCCTAACTTGGAGCACTCTAAACCCTGTAAACCCTCGAAACCCTCTAAACCCTCCAAACCCGTCAAACCCGCTAAACCGTCTAAACCGTCTAAACCCTCTAAACCCTGTAAACCCTCTACACCCTCTAAACCCTCTAAACCCTCTTCACCCTATATAAACCCTAAGCCCTAAACCCTAAACCCTAAACCCTAAACCCTAAACCCGAAGCCCTAAACCCTAAACCCTAAACCCAAACCCTAAACCCTAAACCCTAAACCCTAAACCCTAAACCCTAAACCCGAAACCCAAACCTTAAACCCTAAACCCTAAACCCTACACCCTACAAACTAAACCCTAAACCCTAAACCCTAACCCTAACCCTAAACCCTAAACCCTAAACCCTAAACCCTAAACCCTAAACCCTAAACCCTAAACCCTAACCCTAAACCCTAAACCCTAAACCCTAAACCCTAAGCCCAACCACACCTTTGCCTACGTTTTCCGGACCCGGGAATCTGCCAGGTAGCCCTCGGAGCCTTTATGTCGATCAACGGCACTTGCGAGTTGCAAGGCTGGACACCCCCTAAACGGTAGCAACCCAAAGACATGTAGGGTTCAGGGTAGTTAAGGTTTAGGGTTTAGGGTTTAGGGTTTAGGGTTTAGGGTTTAGGGTTTAGGGTTTAGGGTTTAGGGTTTAGGGTTTAGGGTTTAGGGTTTAGGGTTTAGGGTTTAGGGTTTAGGGTTCAGGGTTCAGGGTTTAGGGTTTAGGGCTTCGGGCTTCGGGTTTAGGGTTTAGGGTTTAGGGTTTAGGGCGTTAATTTTAACGCTACGCGACCCGCCTCGGCCCGGCCCAGCGCAGCCGCGTGAGCATGGTGATTCCGCAGCGCCCAAGTCGCTGGACCCCAAGCAATAAGGGTTTGGTTCAGGGTTTAGGGTTTAGGGTTCCGGGTTTATGGTTTATGGTTTAGTTTAGGATTGAGGGCTTAGGGCTCAAGGTTCACGCTTTGGGGTTTAGGGTTTTTTTGGGAGCAGGGTTCAAGACGGTTGGGCTTGGATTGATCGTAGGGTTGAGCCAGGCCCCTCGTTGGGGTAAGGGGAGTGAGTGCTTCGGGCTTTTGGTTTGAGATGTTTGGTTCAGGGTTTTCGCTCAGACTCAAAAAACCCGCTCACCAACTGCAGTGCGGGGAGGGGGGAGGGGGGGGGGGGGGGGGGGGGGGGGGGGGGGGGGGGGGGGGGGGGGGGGGGGGGGGGGGGGGGGGGGGGGGGGGGGGGGGGGGGGGGGGATGGGCGCCTGCTGGGAGGGGCTTGAACTGCCTCTGGTCCTGGCGAACCGTCCGCTTGCGGACCCCGGTTTCCTGGGGGGGTACCCATTTGAGGCAAAAAAAAGGGGTCCGAAGCAGCTTGAGGATTTGGAGGGGGGTGCCTGTTCTGACAACCTATACACCTCCGGCCCGAGGCCTCGGCGGATTTGCGGCCGTGCTCACACCAGTTGAGCCTCCGGCCCTCAAGCCAGCGCGTCCGAGCAGGAAAACTCCGCCTTTCACAAACACCTTATGTGAGCAAGCACCCCCAGCCATTCAATTAAGCAAGGGGTGGCACGAATGCCCAAAACCCTGTAAAACGATGGGAACACTTGAAAAGCGACACCCCGAGGTTATGAACCATTGGGTGTGCCGCGACACCTACAAACATCAAGCCCCTCTTGTTGCGTCCATTAGCACCTCGAGCCAGCCGCTCGGGAGGGACAAAAAGGGTGGGGGGGGGGTAGGGGGAGGGTTGGGGGGGGGGGGGGGGGGAGGGGGGGGTTGGGGGGGTGGGGGGTGGGGGGGGGGGGGTGGGGGTGGGGGTGGGGGGTGGGGGGGGGGGGGTAGGGGGGGCGGGTAGGGGGGGGGGGGGTGGGGGGGGGGGGGGGGGTAGGGGGGGGGGGGGGTTAGGGGGTGGGGGGAAGGGGGGGGGGGAAGGGGGGGGGTAGGGGGGGGGAGGGGGTGGGTCAGCGGGTGAATAAGGGGGGTGGCCCTGCTGGCCAGAAGGGCTGCAACTGCCTCTGGTCCTGGCGAACCATCCGCTTGCGGACCCTGCTCACCGAGGGGGTACCCATTTGAGGCAAAAAAAGGGGTCCGAAAAAGGGCTTTGGGCTGGAGGGGGGTGCCTGTTCTGACTACCAATACACCTTCGGCCCGAGGCCTCGGCGGATAACCCCCTACAGTCCCTACATAATCCCTAAACCCTCCCCCCTAAGGGCTGTAGGACATCAGGGACAGCAGCACCGGCTGCCTTGGGCTAGAGGTCTATTCAAGGGAGGTTGTGGAATAGGCGCCTTTGTCCCAATTCGTGTGTGGAGAATCAGATCTCGAACTCTTCATTTTTCATGGCGTCTTTCGTAGAATATCCTCCTCTTCCCCTGACATGTGTGGAAACCTACATATCGTAGGCCTTGGAAGCAAAAGCGCTTTCATTAAAGCTTGTCAATTTCGATCTCGCTCATGTATCGTCTTTCGGGATGGAGTATGGCCTTGGCCAGCTTGGCAATGTCGGCATATGGCAGTCAAAGTTGGCCTGGGTCCCTTCTTTTTGATTGTTGGCACGATGTTGGAGACCTGCACACGCTTCCAGGCTTTGTGACGCCAAACCCAGTTCCAACAGAGTGTGAGGACGTCCAGAGGTTGTGGCTTGTGTGCTGTTGCTGATCGTTCCACAGCTTCTCCGTCACAGCTGCATGTAGCGCATAGTACGACTTGCATTGAGATAAGTCGGTGGGCGGTTCTTCTATTGCTCATCGAAGTAAGTTTGCGTACCAGCAGAGTCCCAGAGGACCGAGAAGGTTCGCAGTAAACCCAAAATGGAAACCGCTGACCTGAAACCCTAAACCTTGGGATCTTGGGGAACATCCCAACCTAAACCCTGCACCCTACGGCTTTCAGCCCTTCCCTTCATCGGCCCATGTCCGTGAAGACCAGGAGCTGAGTAGACTTAGGCGGTGCAGAGGTGGTCTCGAGCTGCAATTCCCAGACATCAGCCCATGTACGAACCCTAAGCCCCTAAGACAGCCCATGAACCCCCCAACGTCCCCTAAGCCCGCCCCCAAAGTCCCCTAAAGCCCAAAGGCCCCCTAAAGCCCTAAAGCCCCCCTAAAGCCCCCCTAAAGCCCCCCTAAAGCCCCCCTAAAGCCCCCCTAAAGCCCCCCGAAAGCCCCCCTAAAGCCCCAACTCCCCTTTTGCGCCAGAATGCACCACGGACTCCGGCTTCCGCTGCGGGGAACCATGGCTGGGGGACGACGTGGACTACAGGGCTGCGCCGCAACAGCACTGGCCGTCGTTGTCGTTTTCAGGGTTAAGGGCACGGTTTTCAGGGCTTTAGGGGTTTATCAAGGGTTCTTAAGGGTGTTACGGGTTGTTCAGGGTTTTAAGGGCTTGAGGGTGTCTAAGGGTTTTTGAGGGCTTTGCGGGTTTATTAAGGGTTTTTTCAGGGTTTTAAGGGCGTTTAAGGGACTTAAGGGTTTTGAGGGTTTTAAGGGGTTTAAGGGACTTAAGTTGTGCTTGGGGATTTTGGGGCGTTGAGTTTGCGGCTCGGCTTCTTTGTGGGGTGCATGAAGTTTGAGTCCTGACTGCGGCATTTCCTAAGCTTTTCCTAGCGGATGACCCAAGATGTGGGGAACCTTCGGGAACGTTAGGGAAGCTTAGGAGGATTCTTGGGGTGTCTCTTGGGAGTTTTAGGGCATTACCAGGTTGCTTTCCCCCCTCCCCCCCCCACCCCTGGCCCCCCCACGGACGTTGCAGTGTAAGCTTGATGTTCAAAGGTCGTGTCCAATGTGGTGGTGTCGCCGGGCAGCTGCGTCTACATCATGCAGCAGCCTATCTCTCCCGTGGCGAGCATACCCTACGCCAACTCCAGTCTCGATTTCTCGCCAGGAGCTCAGGCAGGTTCTTGAATGCATTGGGGGGGGGGGGGGGGCAATATCCGAAGTCGCCGAAGATAATTTCGCTGGCACGCGGGGGCTTTGCAGGAGGGTGTTAGGACAACTTCCGAAGAACGGTCGGGGAATACCACATTTGGGCCTCACACAGACGCTTGGCAAAGAGATGCTTCTCGCACGCTTGGCCCCTGCTTCCTGGAAGGGTTTAGGGTTTAGGGTTTAGGGTTGAAGACACCTGTCGAAGACATGTTGGGGGGAAGGCACCTTCTGCAGAGAAGAGACATGGGCGGGCGAAGATGCGCATCTTCACGACAAACGCATGGGCGTCCGCAGGCACCTCGGTCGAGCAAAGACACGTGTCGTCGGGAAGACGCGTGGGCTTGCGAAGACTCGAAAACACATCCTGCAGAACCATCGTGCGAAGGCACTTGCCTTCCGGCCTGGTATGCCCGGCAAGTGAAAGATCATCTCAAGACAACTGATGTCACACCAGTTTTTTTGCTTCATCTAAAAATCGAGTGGCCCAAGCGTCCAAGCCACAGAGCTGATCGCATCCTTACATCCGAAGCCTGAACCTCCAGCTCTGGACCTTGAGATAGGGTTTAGGGTTTGCTCTGTACATCTGCCGTGCGAGTGCGAGCGCATGCGCGTGCGCGCACGTTCTGTCCATGCCATAGGCTTGCTTCAAATTGTGCATGTTGTAATGTAGTGTCCTTACCTGGCATGGTGGCATCGCGAGCTGCCGTGGTGTCACGAAGCCACCTGTCGTCAGAGGACATGGCGTCGGGGTGCGTCAGGAGCAGCACGTCACGATCTCACGTGGCATCACGACGCCACGTGGCATCACCGCATCTGGCACGGCCCGAAGTCAGTAGATGGGATGCCGCCACCGCGGAACATGACGTCAGTATGTACGTGGCATCAGCGTCCCACGCGCCCTGCCGACGTGGCCCGCCACTTGTCTCAGGTGGTTGGGGAGGTTTTTGTGCTGGGGTCGGAGCGCACAACCCTATCGGCCCTAGCGACCCTATCGGATCCTTGTGCGCTGTGTGTTCAGGTCGATCGCGGCTTGGAACTCTGCGCCTTTGAAATGTCTTGAGCCCTGTTCTGCATTCTCTGCACGCCGTATACGGCTGGTCATAAGTCCGAGTTTGGACCTCGACGTGGCGTCGCATCACCGTGATGTCAATGCCTCGGGGGGCCGGGGGCAAGATGTGCGCCCAGACCATGGCCCGACCCGTGTTTCACCTAAAGGGATACTAAAGGGTCGTCTCGTGATGAGCATATGCGCAGTGTTAAGTTGCAGACGCTTTGCTGGGATGGGCATGACATGCTTCGTGCAAAGCTCGATATCGGAGATGTCTTTCTTCAGAAGTTGACGGTGCTATTTTCCAATTCCTTGCGCTGCAAAAATGCTGCAACTGTTCAGATCCGTTGGCTCAGGTCTACATCATCCCCAACGACGACAACGACGACGACGACGACATCGACGACAACAGAGAGCACCACAACGAGCACCACGACGACCACGACGACGACAACCACATCCACGACGACCACCACCACCACAGCTGCATGCCTTCATAAGCACGCCTGAAGCTACGTGGAGGTTCATGGCACTTATTGACCAGTGCACTTATAACCACTTATAAGCCCCTTAAGTGCCCTAATATGGTTATAATTACAGTCATAGCTGGTTGATAAGTACAATGAAACCCAAGCTATGACCTGCAAAGAAGCCCCTTTGCTAACGTCCACAGCACCTGCCCGCCAAGGGGCGTTGCCGGCAGTTTCCTGCACCTCGCTCTGCAAGCATCACAAGCTGCCGGTTTGGGGTTTAGGGTTTAGGGTTTAGGGTTATGGGTTATGGGTTATGTGGCTTCACTCGACAAGCTGTGGCAGCGGTCTGCTTGGGGGTAAAGTGGCGTTGCTTGGGCTCGTTTCGGGTTTGACGTCTGATCCGTGAACGTCACCCGCCTGTTCCGTGTCCCAATGAAATGTTTCCTCTGCCACGGGAAGCAAAGGAGCCATATTCATGCTTCAAGATAGGAGGTCCAAACAAATCTAGTTAATTTCGTCCACGAGGTATGACTGCCCGTGAGATTCCTCCACTCTTCTCCAGAAAGCCATCCTTGAAAGTCTTGTTTGAGAATGGCAGAAGTTGGTGGGTAGGAATCTGTGTCGATTCCCGACGACGGGTCCCTCCAGGCTTCCTGTCTGGATATCAGATCAGAGGCAACCTTGTAAACCCAAAAGCCGGGAATCCAAAGCCTCTTTCTTTCCTGCCTCCAGGGTTCCTGCTTGGATCTCTTTCAGATCACGAACGGCAGTCTTCCTGATGGCGTGTACACCGTGAGAGTCCGAGATTTGGATGACAACGTCCAAGACACACTGGTCTTCTGCGACATGACCAACGGAGGCTGGTACTGTTGCCGAAGAAAAGCGAGGTACCTGAGTGGATTGGGTCAGATGTTGGTTGCAACTGCAAGATGTTGAGACTCAGATCTAAGCAAACTCTTGGGGTGTTCCAGAAACACTTGTTCTGAAACATTCGATCTTGCAACTGGGGGGTCTCTTCATTGCCTACTACACATCTCCCATGTTTTTTGAGGGCTTCTGACGGCCTAAACCCTAAACCCTAAAGCTAAACTTTGACCATTCGGGAGGCTGGACCTTGGTCGGCCAAATTGCTGGCCAGTTCGCGATCACTGATGGCTGGCTGCGGGCCTACCACAGCGAGTCCCAGCTTCAAACCCGAATCATCACCACCAACTCGCGCCCTGGTAGGGTTTAAGGTTTAGGGTTTAGGGGTTTAGGGTTTAGGGTTTAGGGTTTAGGGTTTAGGGGTAGAGTTATGCTGACTTGGTCCTAGGCCCCCTAGTTCCTTGAGTTGTGCAGACTCTCGTGATCGTGGTTTCCCGAAGGTATGGTTCCTTTTGGGGCTTTCTAAGGCGGCCCCCTACTAGTGGGTACCTCAGGAAGATATAGAGAACTGACCCTAACCCTAAACCCTAAACCCTAAACCCTAAATATTTGTACTTGAAGATACTAGCTCTTATACCTCATTTACGCTACTTCATTGGCTCAAGACAAAAGTGCGCTGCACTGTAACCAACGTGTTTAGGGCTTTCCGCTGGTAACAATAAGTTATCAGCCGTAGACTCTATTTGTATGGGAGGGCATTCTCCCGGAAATGCTGCAGCTATCCCCGTACCCGTGGAGGATGAAACTATTTCACTTCTTAGCAACCCCATTGCAGGGAACCTTCAGCAGCTCAGACAGGCCCTCCCCGGGAGGGTGAGGTTGCGACGCTAAGCCAAGAAAACTTAGCATTGCTGTCAGCCCAGAACGATGCAAGGATCGTGCACCTTGGAGCCGTAAGTGAACGGAATCTCATGGACGCTGGTGGCGTAGGCTCTATGCATTCATGGAACATGATCCCAGGGTTGGCAACCCCCTGTATTCACCTACGGAGAGAGTGTCAACAAATTACTCTCCCACATTCCAAAATGCCCAACATGTAGACCGAAGGCAGCTTCAGGCGAATCAGATTGACGCAAGGCAGTTGGCCATGAGTATGCCCGCCTCCGCATCGACAAAGCCGTGAAGGAGTTTGTCGCGCACAGGAATGTGATGCCCATCTTTGACAATGATCCTTTCAGGTGCATGAGCGATGGTGAAGCCAGCTGCTTCTTGGAGTACCTGACTATTCCTCGTGATGAGTATTTCACAGAGTGGGCACCACTGGCGGCCGATGTGATCACCCCGTTCCAGCTGCACTACGTACCCTCTTGGGACTATGGAGGTCAGCCGGCTCGGATCCCGGAAGGGCATCCACTCTAGCCGTCGATGCGCAACGCTACGTGGGGCATGAGAGCACTTGTTCTGCCAGCGCAAACAGCTCTCACAGTCGGTCGCCGACTTCGTGGGGAACGCAAGTACTTCAGGTTCCAGCAATGTGTTGCGTGCCCCAATTTCAACTTCCCTTTCTGCGACTGCAACGACCTCATTGATGGGCTTACCAGGTGCATCCGCTGCAACGAGCGTCTCACGTTGGCCACAGATTTGGCCAAGATGGCGCAGCCCTGCGAGGCTCGTCAGGACGCCGCCCGGAGGGGTAGGCCGATGAACATCTTCGAGATTCAGCCCTCCCGCAGCCTGAACTCAAGTCGAGACCGTCGTGCCCCCCGACGCATCGCTGATGCGTTTGCTACTACTGTCGACAGGAGAAAGTCTTCTTCTGGGGCCACCCTCAAGGCGAAGATCAATCACTCGCTCAAGCGCGCAAAGGCTAGAACTGGTGACGACATCTCATTGGCCGCGATCCTGTCGGAGTCGCCCATGGACGCCTACAATTGGACGTCACAGGGTTTGAGCTTCTCCAGCCTCAGTGAGATCACCAGGTTCGCAGATGTGCGCTTGCCCAACCCAGGCATGGCTGGGGGCAAATATGCCGAAGGCCAGGACGCGTACTACAATGTGGACGGCCGCTTAGCCTTTCTTTGGGCCGACGGCGACGAGTACATCGACATCCTGACGGATTGTTTCATTTCCTTCCAGGATCGTTTTTACTCAGTCACCGAAATCGCCGTGATTATGTTCGCTATCCACCGAACCACTGACGATCGGTTCTTCATCATGACGAACACGCCGAATGAAAGGTGGTACGCTACCGGGCGAACTCTGGCATCCATCCTTGGAGAACTTGTTGCTTTGATCAGACGTGATCTTCCCCGCTCGACAAAGAGGGGTGAGTTTGCGCCAAACCTCAGGATGTCCCAGAGTGTCCACGTCCCGGAAGGGTTCGCGTCGCTTGGAGATCGTCAGCTTTCACAGTTCCTCGAGTTCACGCGTTTCAGGACACGCGCCCTCAGAATCAGAAGCATCAGGATCGGGTTGATGACTTGAGGAGGACGAGGGCTTCTTCGACGCCAAGCTCCAGGACCCCGCCTTGGAATGATCAGCCACAGTCCTTAAGGGGAAGGTCGCAGACTCCCGGCGCCCAGCAGGGTCGCCCTGTCGAGAGCAGAACAAGGGATTGTCAGTCACTGTGGAAAGCAGCGCCAACCGACGGTCCCCCTCCTCCGGCAGGAGCTCAGCCCATCGTGGTCAAGGCCACTCCATTTGGCTGCGAAGCGACCGCCGCCCCCTCGGCCTGCGGACCAATCTTCTTCGCCTGCGTCGCGACCGGCATCCACTGCTGTGAAGTCCAAGCCACGTCCGCCACAGCTCGCAAGGGACTACGTCTCAGCGGACGATTGGGCTGCAACCGCGCAGGGCCGCCCATTCGCTGATGAGCGCCCGCCTGCTAGGCAGAGGATTGCCTCACCAGTTTCCTCTCGCCCTGCAAAACGGCTCCCCAACCTCCTGTGGTGGAGCCAAGCGACCCGCCAACGGACGAGCAGAGAAGGCAGTCCAGGGCGAATGTCGCTAGCAGTCGCGGTCGCCAGCGCATCTTTGACACGCTCGACCGTGTTGTTGAGTGGGGCGAGTTTGCCACCGGCCATGACATTGATCACGCCCGTGACCGGGATGTCAACTGGCCGACCTGGATAGGCTACATGTGGGCGGTGATGAGGGCCTTGGACATCCTGGAGATGACCGTCGATAACGCCATGTATGCCATACCAGTTCATGACTCCCTCACTCGCATTCAGCTCATGGGTCCGGACCACGTCAAGGCTTACCTCCGTGGATGGCACAACTGGTCATGGGATCGCGAGAATGATTGCTGGAAGCGCGACTACTGAGCCGCTTTTCAGAAGCACCAGCCTGACGGCTTGGTTTCGCCGCTCTGACGAGCTGGCTACCTTTTCCACTTTAGCCAGTCCTTTTCGGAGCCGCGGAGCAAAGCTCCAGGCAAACACCAACACCCTGCCGGGTTGTTTGGCAGCGATGTGTTGGTCAGGTAGGTGCACAGCAGTCTTTCACTTTGTTGCTTTCAAAGTAGCGTCGTTGAGAGCTAGTTGAACGCCTCTCCGTTGCTCTAAGATGCGCGGGGGGTATTTGTACTTGAAGATACTAGCTCTTATACCTCATTTACGCTACTTCATTGGCTCAAGACAAAAGTGCGCTGCACTGTAACCAACGTGTTTAGGGCTTTCCGCTGGTAACAATACTAAAGCCTAAACCCTAAATTTTAGAGCTGCGCTAACTGCGCCAGTGAAGTTGCTGTCTTTTTGTTTTGTCCCGAACCCGTTCTCCTTTTCTATCCCTTCAATTTACTTAAACCTGTTTTCTATGCGGGAAATAAGTTTCAATTTACTTAAACCTCACTCTAAACCCTCAACCCTCAACCCTCAACCCTCAACCCTCAACCCTAAACCCTAAATGTCCGGGAAGAGGGCAACTGGAAGGAGGACATCTGGAAAGAAAGCGTCTGAAAAACATATGGAAAGAGGACATCTGAAAAGAGAGAAGCTGGGAAGAGGGCATCTGAAAAAGGAGGGCATGTGGGAAGGCATCTCGCAGGAGGGCGGCTGAAAAGAGGGCAGCTGGGAGGAGGGCATCTTGAAAGATGGCAACTGGGAAGCAAACATCTGAGAGAGAGCATCTGAAAAGAGGATATGTGGGAAGGCGTATGGGAGGAAAGAATCTGGAAGGAGGGCATTTGGAAAGAGGGCATCTGGCGGGAGGGCATCTGGAAAAAGTGCATCTTGGAGGAGTGCAAAGAGTAGAAAGACGATCCAACAAAAAAGGGAAAAGGGCGACCAAACAAAAAAGGTGATAAAAAAGGCGACCAAACAAAAAAGGGTAACAACAAAAGTCGACCAAACAAAAAAGGTGACAAAATATGGCGACCCAACAATAAGGGTATAAAGAAGGGTATAAAAAAGGCGACCAAACCAGAAAGGGTCATAGGGTTGCGCCCTAGGGTCGCCTTTATCAAAAGATGCTTCCTCCAATGCTCTGGCGCCAACTTCACTGGCGAACCCTATACCCTAAACCCTAAGCCCCAAGCCCTAAGCCCTAAGCCCTAAGCCCTCAACCCTAAACTTTGTATCTTCTGTGGGCGGAGGTGGGCTGGTGTCCAGGGGATCCCGAACCCCTCGCCGCAGTCTGCCGCCAAAAAGCTGTTTTGCTGTGCCTCCTGAAGGACCCCCCCTCTGGGCCCCCCTGCATCCCCGGGGCCCCTGAACCCGGTTCACCGGACCCCCGACGCCCGCCTCCTGGCCCCGGCCCACCTCCTGGACCCCTTTTAGGGACCCCCTGAACCTTGCCTTGGAAGTGGGCGCTTCCGGGGGCCTTCCGGGGCCTTCTTGGGCCTGCCTGGGTTAGACCCTGCGATTTGCTTCAGACAGCTTGGACCCGGAAAACTTCTTACAACTCCTGACATTCAGGACGGAAGAAGTGTTTAGAAGTGGACTGTTATCTGAGTTGAGGCCTAAACCCTAAAAGGAATAGGTTTGGGGGGCTTTGCCTCCTTGGCTTTGCCACCTTGGACGGCGTGGGGTGGGAGGAAAGTGTTAGATGGCCTTCCACAATCGGGCCAAAGCTGCTCTTCGCGCCTCTCTTTCAAGCTTGTTCCACAACCATACCTTCACAACGTCTACGCCTTATCACAGCTGAACTCTAAACCCTAAACCCTAAACCCTAAACCCTAAACCCTAAACCCTAAACCCTAAACCCTAAACCCTAAACCCTAAACCCTAAACCCTAAACCCGAAACCCGAAACCCGAAACCCGAAGCCCGAACCCGAAACCCCAAACCCGAAGCCCGAAACCCTAAGCCCTAAACCCTAAGCCCTAAGCCTTAAACCCTAAACCTTAAACCCTAAACCCGAAACCCTAGACCTTGTATCTTCTGTGGGCGGAGGTGGGCTAGTATCCCCGCAGTCGACATGGCTGTGAATTGCGCCTCGGAGGTCCGGCTGAGCAGCTTCGAAGCAAAGAAAAGTGCGTTTCACGGTTTAGGGTTTAGGGTTTAGGAAAAACAGACCTTCAGTATAGTCTAATACCGTATCGCATGGTATGCGTACTGTAAGCAAAGACATGTACATGTAAATATACACGAATTCCTACATATATTTTCAAGAACATATTTTTTTTAAAGGTATTTTCTTTTTGTATACAGGCAATGTATACTTTCGGTATATGTTTTTCTTAGCTTTGATTGTTGCACATACGTTTGAGCTTTATTTTGTGTATGTTTATGATGTTTTTATATGTTTGCTTATGTAAATTAGTGTTTCACAACTGTGTATACAGTATGGTTTTAACCTAGTAGAATCAAATACCCACTCTAGCATCACAATTTCTATATCGTCCAGTATATACTTGATTTACTCTTATATGAAGTTTGCAATAGTACATACGAGTATGCAACTGTGTTCAAATGTATACGGATATGATCGTGTATATGGTAGCTCTTAGAACACCACACAATAGAAAGTTAGTAGCTCTTAGAACACGACACAATAGAAAGTTGTATGTAATTGTTTCCATGTTTTCGTAGTTCATTGCTTGATAGACTAGTCCAGTATATTCAGAGTTCCAGTCGCAGGGACAGAAGGTTTGCGGGTGCCTTCCAGTCCTAAGGCAACGAAAATGGCAACGAATCCATGAGGCCAACATTTGCATGGCTGTGTTCTGTTGTCGATGGGTCGAGTTTGGGACGTTACCCCTTTTACAAGCAGTCCTCAATCGGGGTTTTCGTATCCCCTATTCTTACCCCTATGAAGGACTGTTAGTAGAAGCGGGAACATCCCAAGGTACTAGTGTTTTTCTCCCAGGGAGTCCATCCCCTGAGGTGGGAGATGGATACAGACCGCGAGATCTCGACATGGTGGAACCACTCTGCAGGCGCGCTCGTTGGCCTTCATGGTGCCATGCTTGCTCCATGAATTTCATGCTTATTTCATGTTATGTTGATAGAGTGTGTCCATGAGTTCCATGTTAAGTAAGAAATTGCCCATTGCATTTCCATGTTGTAGCATGTCTTTGGTGTAACGCTCTTTGTCTTGCAGCCAGCAGGCACGGCCACGATCAACGCTGCGCCAGGCCACCAAGTGCTTGTCCACAACCAAGATGGTGCCAATGAGACGTGTTGCTTGGTAGCCCAGTGGTACCCCTTTCCCTTATTTTGGTTCTGGGTTCCCTTATAAAGTAACCAACCAAAAAAAGGGTGCCCTGATTATGATATGGTTACTGGGCTACTCAGGTTGGCAAAATCAGTACGGCATTATGAAGCTGATGGATCATGGCGGATCGTACCCTGCAGCTACAATCAACGACCAGGGCAACACATTCCCAGATGATTTCTGCCTGGCTGTTGGTGTGCTACCTTCTGGCTCAAATTCGACCAACGGCTTTACGCAGAATGGGAACGGATACGATGCTCCCACAAGCGACACTGACTGGCCGAATGTTGCCCTGCAAGGTGTGCCCATGCTTAACGTCTGGTTGAAGTGA